AGACAAGTAGTTTTAATTTGCCTATAGAAAGATACATACGTTATATTAACCGGGATCAAAGCTGCCTTTTTAGTTTCGCCACAATTTGCTTTATAACCCACATTGAAACGGTGTTTCTTTTAAAATATTATTACGATATAATACTCAGTATTCTTAAGTTCCCCTGCATACCTACAAAACGTAGGTATTATAGTTATCTATAAATAGATACGTTCTAATATGTACTTTAAAATTAGTTAGAATGAGTGCTTAAGAGCTTTTTAAAATCAATATTTAGCAAAAATGTCGTAAAACGAATCGAAATTAAATAAACGTCTGGGTGGGCGCCATAATCGACCGGAAACAGGCGAATATCAATAATAATTTAAAAAAGATCACTCCAACACTAAAACGGCGCTAACATCCCATTTCACAAATTACACAATCGAAAAAATTAAAGGCGGCGCGGCGTAAAGGCTCGCCGCTCAAAAAAAACAAATTATCTCTGGTTTTTAGATAATTAAAATCTGCCTTGTTAGCCCGCGTTGTCTATGGCCTGACCTGTTGAATGAAACCTTTGTTTGATTATGTTGTAGACAAAGGAGGCATAGTATTCTTATGATTTTTTTTAGCAATAAACACGCTTTAATTATATTATATATGTTTAAGTATTTACAGATTAAACAGACAGATTTTTTATATATATATATATATAAACTTATCAATAATTTGTTTTTGAAACACATAGGTAGGTACTTACTTTCACGCCGACGTGAATATTGTTGATTCCTTTTTCATTTCAGAAGTAATGTTCTATTATTACGTGGGTTTAATAAAAACAACAGTATATTAAGAAATATTTATTTCTTTTAGAATCAACGCTAAGACAAGACACAATGATGAAAGATGTAGGACAATATGACAACTTACACTATTAAATTAAATGTTATCTAATATGAGGCCGCTAGAAACAAAATAGCCTAACTGCAATTTTACAAGAGCGCCGTGATCGAAAATTGTAAATCTAATTCTTACACAAATAACAGTACAAATTCATTTTCGCCTAAGTTAATTGCGCATTTTTTTATCCTTTTTCTTGAAAATTATGTTTTTTGTTATTAGGCCACACTGCCTTTAGCTGCCTCATTTTATTTGCTATATAATAATAATAAGGATTATTGCAACATGAAAAAAATTAAATCAAGTACGCTAAACTTCTATTTTGAGTCAAAATGGTGCCATTTTGTTGACATCGCGTTAAATACAAAATGGTTGCTAAAACAATGCGACATTATTACCCAATTCTTTGGCACAATGTTGTGGCATGACATTGAAAGGAGTAAAAGATTATCGAGAACCGTAATATTAGGTAATCTTGACAAAGGGGTCTATTCGTGCGCACACGTCTAAAGACCCCCCATAACAATGGGTGAATAGGACCCCAAAAAAATCCGCAATACCGTTGTCATTTTGAAGTTAAACTGACAATGTCAAAGACGCCGCGAGTGGCGCTTGCGATTCTAATAAAATAATCATTAGTTGAACTAACAATGACACGATTTTTGTAAGGACTCGATTTTTCGGACCCTCGTTCATTTCGTTCGTTCGTACTTCTGTTAAGATTAATTGATGGTAGACAATAGCAAACAACGATACACACTTTCATTTGACTTCATAAAATATAGACCTTAATATACGAATAGTTATTTTAATAAAACACTTTCAACGGTTTAAAAGGCGAAATTTATTACCTAACTTAATTTAATTACCAACATTTCGGAAGCGCTGTGGCAGCCGTGATTAGGGGACTAATATATTTCCTATTTAAAACTATTAAAAGTGTTTTATTTAAATAGGTAGGTACTACTCGCGGCAGGTAGATGAAATTGTTTCTTAGTAAAAAAAATCAACATTTTACAAACACTTAAACAGATCTATACTTAAATCTTATGCCGAAAAACATTTTGATCATCTACGTAACATCTGAGGTGGTAATGTTTAAATTAACTACGTTGTAACTTTATTGTTTATCTTTGAATTATTGTTAGTGAGTTGTTTGTTGGATGCTTTACTTTATTGGATCAAAAAACGTGTCACCAGTTCAAAGTTTAACTCTCCTTTTTATATCTATATTGTGTTTTTAAGATGACAATAAAATAGGGCGCCATTTGTAAATAATTGATGACAATTGTCTTCGCCATATCTCGTCATGCACGTCATGCGCGAGCCAGTCGTAGCTTAAGGCGAAAACTAATTATTTTACGCCTGACGCCGTTCACGTATTCAGAACACGTCAGTGCTTCATTAAAAATGCAATAACTTAATGACGTCATAAAAATTCATTTCAAGATGGCCACGGTAGCTTTAGCAAAGTTCCGACTGCACAGATAAAAAACGTTCGACGCTCTATGTAAATTACAGATAATGTAATCAGATGATGCATGGCGGTCACAGATAGGAAATGTTCTATGGTCTATGCGCTAAGACCAAGAATGATGGCTACCTGCTGTTTAACAATTCTACAATATCTATATCCTGCATAGATAGAAAACCTAGCAATTTTAAGTTTCCTATCTGAAAAAGTTAATGTTTCACTCGTTTGGTATGTTGAATGATGGAATTAAATAAATTAAAGATGTATTTAGTCCTCCGTCTATCTATCTGTGTAGGGCACGGTAGCTTGGTTATACAGGTCCGTGCTGCTACGCTCGGAACGCTGTAGACCCCAGTTCAAGTCCCGTCCGTGTCGTAAACTAAAGAGATTTATCTGGTTTTGAGTACTCAAGTCAGTTTTGTAGTTTCAGTACTAAACTACTTATTATATGTATCACACTCACACATAGTGAATAGTAATTTTGTTTTGTCATGACCGTCTACACGGTATCGAATCATGAAAATTATTTCGTAGCGCTTACGAAGTTGTGTCCCAAGAGTCTAGGCGTTAATGTTCTACAAACTGGACACTATTTGGCAAAGCGTCAACCCACCACGCCATCCACGGAGGCCAAACAAATGCACGGCATTAACATGATAATCAGTGCTAGTAATTTTACAGTAAAGCGCTCGTAAAAATCTCTCGGACAGCGCTTCTTAGAAGCTCTAATAGGCATACAAGCGCTTTATGAGTTTTTATTGTTTATTTATTTTACTTGGAACTGTGGTATATTCGGGTTGTAATAAGCAATTAAAACTACAAAACTCTTTATTAGCGCCGGCCGGTGTTTGGTTTGTTTTGATTAGATTAATTGTGCTGTTAAACAATAAACGATTGAGCCGCCTTTGTGGGTCGCGATCTTAAGATAAATTGCCACGAAATTAATCAACAGAGAAATTATGGTTAAATTAACTGAAAATACACTTGTTGCAACTTATATTCGGGACTTCCCTTGTATAATTTTGTGTAACTATTAAATAATATAGATATTAAAAATCTAGTAGGTAAGTTAGGCAAGAAACTGTACCTAAAAAGGCATTTAGTTGCTGATCTTAAATGAGTATCATACTATATCACCATTAGGTGAAGATTATTTCAGAATATATGTACCTACATATATAGGTAATTTTTTTAAGAGCAAGTAAACTTACAAAACCCCTTTTTAATTTAAACTGTATTTTTTAAGTTTCTTAGGGACCTAAACAACTTAAAAAAATACAGTCGGCCTTATGTGTGATAGAAATATTAGGAAACCGAATAAGCCTTGTCAAAAGGTGAAATATATTAACATTAATCTAATCGTTTTTTTATTTTTAAGGAATTATTTTGTTACTTTTAAATCGTACTGTGGATTTTTTTAGCTATAAGCTTAAACTATGAAAAATTTAGCTTTCATAACGAAATTGAAAAAATTACGACTCGGGCAGGATCTGAACCGGCATCAACAGCGTTCCGTGCTTTTGCTCTAACCAATTGAATACCTACAGAGGTAACACTGCTTGGCGCAGCTAGTATTACAAAAAACAGTAATAATTAATTATTTCAATCATTCTAAACTAATTCTACCTGTAACACAAAAGTACACAAAAAAATTCGCAAACCTACCACGTCGTTAAGAACACAAAGAGTTTTTTTTAATTGCGACAAAGGTACAGCGATGTTCACGCCTCATAAAATAGATAAAACTATTCTTACAATCTGGCAACAAACAATTAATGTCACAGACTATAAATATAACCGAAAAACCATAAAGTATCACCCAACTTTATTAACTACTGTGCACAGATTAAAATATTAATTGGGCTGGCAGGTAAGAGGAGTTTTTTTGCGATGGCAATAAAATAGATGAAAACTTTATAGTTTTACGGTTTTGGTGTTTTATTTTAGTTCGTAAATTACCTACGCTTGTGTAGATACTATAAACTAATTTATTATTTATTGTTCTAATAATTATATTCCTTTTTTATTTTCTTTCAAATAATTATCGTTTGGCGCAAAACAATAAGAAGCAAGACAAATATTATGTGCTTTATACAGAACACTAAATTTAACTTATTAAACAATGACATATTAAATAGACAATAGAAATAGCGTTTTTTTTTGTAATGATGTATTATACCTTTTTTTACATATTAATATCTTTTAAGGCCTTACAATTTAATTATACATAGGACTAGAAACAAAATACAGTGAAGTAGGTAGTTGCTTTCTTAACATTCAAAGATTCGGTACCCTTATTGTAGATAAAATACCTATTATCTAAGTTGGAGTTTGTTTATTTGACACACGTTTACCTACTCACAGATTAAAAATACTTACAACCTTTACATACGCAACCGCACAAACAAAAAGACACAGTGCCCCCGTAAAAAATGGAACTGACACCACAAAATCAAAGGAACCGTCGCGTGAAAAAAAACTCACTTCGCCGATATGAAAAAAAATCGACAAATTCAACGTCCAGTTTATAAGCGGATGGTTTTCGTCTGTGCCGGCTGGGCGTGGTCTGCGGAACAGGTCGGTACGCGGCGTAACGTCAAAAAATGCCCATAAAAAAAATTAATGGCAACCTAGACGCCGGCGATCGATGTCGGGTTGCCAACCCGGTCTCACTGCACGTACGGACGAAAAAAATCGCGCCATCTTCGCCCGCCAATCGCGTCGTAACCGCGCCTTTTCGACGCTACACCTCGAACTGGGCCCCGCCCACGGCGCCGCACTAGCGCCGCGAGCCCCATACGAGCGGCGCGAACCGGAACTAATCAGAGCGAGACGGCACCACTCTGGGCCGTTCGTCTCTCGGACAATTTGATCCAACTGGTCATTAAGTGTTTAAATTCAACGGGAGTTGGTTGTGTCGGGTTTCTACGGAGGGGAACGCTATTAAAATTTCCACAAACATTATCTTTAATTGGACAGAATTTTGTGCTTGTGTGCTCGGGCCGTTGTTTTTTTTTTCGCTCAGTGACGATTCCTATTTTACTTTGATGACTATAATCGTGTTTGTGCGGTGAATCTGTGGACTGTGGTATCGGGTGTCATCAAATATGACATCGGTTACGTGAAAATTTACGTACAGCACGTGAGTCGTAAGCGGATGCGTAATTTTATAAATTGAACCATCGTATCGTTCCATTTAATTGCTCTAAACGAAGCCGACTTTCGTTTTCTCCAGACTTTTCGTAACTCACAGTGTTGTGTTCCTATCTATTTGTGAGTGTGAAGTGATGCTGTGACAGATTTGATTTTCCTACCAACCGTAAGTACATTACTATTACCAACATTGAGGTACTTATTAATCGTTCTTTAGCCCTTCCTCCCAAAAAGTACCTGCTACCAAAAAATCTTTAAGCACACCACTAATAAAAATAGGCTTATGTCTACAATATTATACTCGTTCTGGTGTTACCTATAAACCCCTATAACTATTTTTCAATATTTGATATACTTAGTCCATTTCACTGACTCGTAAATTGGCAAATTATTTTTGGAATAACTTAACAATCCGATACAAAGAAAAAAAAACCCAAATAGCATATTTTATTACATATGTAATTCGTAATATTAATTATAGATTAACAGTATTACGTATAGTTTAGAAAGTTACAGTTAAACATTTAAGTCCTAAATTGCGTTGCCTTAACGTAAGCTGTTGTAACTTACAGTCTAAAAGCGGTACTTGTTTGAATCACAAGCCGAGATTAATTAAAATTTACTTAACAAAAAAATTGCTTGTAAAACCTCTGAATGTTAGAAAAGATGAGTGCGCCGATACAAGAGATATTTTCATAGAATCTCGTTAACACATTTTTAGTTTACTTTCTGCTTAAATACACTTTCTTACTAACGCACCCAATTCTCTAGCTAAGAAAACGGAGTCTTTCTAGTTTCTATCCTTAGGAGAGACCTGGGTTACCCTCAATATTACCTATATACCTTCTTCTTGTGTCGCTCCATCACTGAAGTTTGGCCGTTCTGAAAACGGCCGGGTTCCTATTCAAGATTTAGCAATCCCTCCACCATTTCTACTTATATAGTCTTTGGGCTAAGCCATAGACTACATAACATGGCTAAGGCCAATTCAAAAAACGGGCAACAAATTATCCAAAGTAAAAATCGATTACATTGAAATTTAACGACACGGGCTGGAACCGTCAGCAGCGGTCCGTGCTGTTGCTTTAACCAGACTATTTATTCAGAATATCGGTATCCCAGATAAGGGTCATAGAGAATGAACGAATTCTTTAGCTCTATAATATTATAACCTTACCACTATATTTATTCTTATAGGGTAATATATTTCTCATAAGATATTTAGCTAAAACCTATTTTATGAAGAACTTGAAGAAAGTAACCGCCATAACTAACAACTAATGAAGATGCGCTATCAATCTATTTCGTCTTTAGATTTTCGATAATAGGTACCTACATAGTATGTCGAAACGCGAATTGAAGTTGACGGCGTTCATCTGTGTACGGCGGATCGTGGCCCGGGCGGAATTTCGATATTCCTTCCGCCTATTCAATTATATTAACGAAGCAAACATATTATTTTAGGAAAAAATATAATTTGATTTCACGTTGATACGGTGAACCCACGACCCGATGATTATTAAATACTGTCTTTAGTTTTACGCAAGTAGTCCATTTATTTAAATCATGTCTCCCTGATTATGAGCTTCATAAGCCAAGTAATAATCTTTTAAACCTTAAAGTTTTTTTTAAATCAGTTGAATAATAAGCCAACCATATGAAAATGTGGTATAGATACTAAATGAGACATATCAAATTACCTATCAACTGTGGCGTAGACCTTAGACATCTGCTTATTCTGTTTAGTGGCAAATTGTATTCTGTCCCCGTAGTTCATTGGCGAGCTGGGTTCTACTCCCAGGACAGTAATAGATTTAGTCGGTCAAACATAGTCCATTCAAAGTGCCTGTAAATAGAATCGCTGAAACTGACTTAAACGTTCTACCCCTTACTTCACACAAATTCAACTAAATACAAAACCACACATAAAAATACCAGTAACAGTAATAATTTAAATGTCTAGTTGTTCTTTCGATAGTTAGATTGTAACTACCGGACTGATTTTAATAAAATGCTGCGTAAAATAAACTAAATGACGTTAATTTAGATACATGTGTAAGTACCTATTTTGCATATCGCTTACATAACACTAAATAAATAATTTAGGAGTTAGGTCGTAGCAATGTATAGGTAGTAATCGACGGATCGTGGATTCGATTCCCTACGAGTCCGACATAATTTTAAAATCATTTTTTTAAACATCTTAGGTTTAACTCTGTACATACAAATTATAAGTTAGGTACATAAGAATTATTCTTACTATAATTAGCTTAAAACATGTTTGTGTACCTGGTTAGTAAGCCTTACTAAATAAATAAAAATTTAAATGCCTAGTACAATATTTGGTGAGTTACGAATGAACTATGGCAGGGATATTTCACCTTCCATCAAAGGAACCCCATGCTAGTCTGTCATACAGAAACTCATGGAGACGAGTGTTTTTTAATACACTTTTTATCCATATATTACAGCCGGTATTTTAAAGGCTTTGTCAATGTATTACACTAGATTAAAATGTAATAGATTCAGCCAATCTTATAGGCCGAAGCCGTCTGCCCATAATTTCAATGTCGTGTTATCTTTTTATAATACGCAGTGTCTGCCCTATTTTCACTAGTAAACAAGTTACAAAAGAGTTTAGATAGGTAACTTGCTACTTAAACATTTATATTAAGGAATAGACGGGATTAAAACTTCTTGATACGATTGATATTTTGAACATTCAAAAGATCTAGAATATTTGAAAATAAATAATCGGTTTCACCTAATCAACGTCATTTGGAGAGTGGTTAAACACTTAATGAATGCTACTTCTGTAACAAATTATGTAACAATGAATCGCATAATATAATTTTTATAGATATGTCTTTTTTTGTATATAAGTTCAGATAAAAAATTACAAAAATCAATACAAGACTAAGGAATAACAAAATGGCGGCATTGTTCAATTATTTCATTAAAATATAGAGAAAAATACAGCCTTTTAATTTTTTTTGTTATAGATTGAATAAAAACTAGATCTCATCAAATGTTTCACATAGGTAGTTAATATATTATATAAAAAAATAATATATGTAAGATCTATATGTTACATATATTATTTCTAACCTTCTTAACTCTTCAGCTTTTACAAAATACTTCTGACATACCTATATATGTCAGAAGTATTTTGTAAAAAAAATTTCATTCATTGGAGCATTGTTTAAAATATAATTATAATTCGACATTAAATATGATATTCTTAAAATATTGTTTTTTAAACTTAAAAATACTTGTATATTAAAGAAAAATAAACAGAATCGGGTTTCAGATTTGCAAAAACACGCTCGTTCGGAAGATTATTGCTGGAATTCTTATTAGAATATTTACGGGAAGTATCAGCGTAGAAAGCATTTCTCAGACCATAAAGCTAAGCATTGCGTGTGATTAATGTTTTTCTATTCGGCGTAAATAACGCGTGTAATAATTACGCACCTATCGCAATATCAATATAACATGTATTATAATATTATCTGGCCACGTCTCAATCGCTATCTTACCGCGAATAGCCATAGATTATAGAAGTGCCGCTCATTCTAGTTACCATGTTAGGCTAATGACAAAATGGCGGCTAAGATTGGCATATGACGAATGGCGGGAAACGTAAATGTCAAAACGTGAGAAATTTTTAACGACGTCTCAAATAAAAAAGTATTTGTTATACCGTGTTGTTATTTTATGTCGGCCTCTGTAATTTGTTTGTTTAAAATCATTATTTAATAACATCTAGTATTAATTTTAATTTGTAAATGGGCGGATGTCATTTATTGCTTTGAGAGCCACCGCGATTGCGATGAGCAATGAAAATATAATCGTATATTTTGACTGGTCTTCAGTTATCTCTGTGTCGTCCTATCTCGTAATCTAGCGAACATATCTAGAAAATAAAAGCTAAAACGACCGCGGACGGGCAAATTAAAAGTTTTCCGTATGAAAAAGCAATACTAACGAATCGTAAAATTTTAATTACATTTGGCACCGGCTGTATTAATGCCGTAAAATTTATAAATATTATTTAATTTGCAAAACAACCTGTTCGCCCGCCGCTTTCTTCGACCCACAAATCAATTATAATTATGTCAGTGCGAAATGTATCTCAATAAAATGCCGATAACTCCCCGAAGATTTCGATCGGTTGTGACGTGAAGTAACGTCGCGTTAATGCAAGGTGACATTACTTATCAAATGACCTTCTTAGACTTATTGCTTGGCTTCTGATGGCAATAAGTATTACCGTACATTAATATACCCATGGAACATTACCAGAATACCTTGCTATTTATGTTGGAAGCTTCTTGCCACATAATGCAACCTGTTCCACGTACATTTCTATATACTCAAACACGCGGGTCTTGAACGTATTGGTAGATGACGTTATACCATTCCTATTCTGAAAAGTAAAGATCTGATTATAGTTAACACTTTTTATGTCCCGGTAATCAAAATATTCATTGACTATCTGCGTAGATACCTAGGAATCATTCTTTGTACATATTTTTTGGTATCTTGAACCGTTCTCGCAGCGTACGCAATTGAATCTCACAAGGATGAATAATTTTCCCCGTTTTATTCCACATTTCCCGGTGTTTCTTTGCTCTTTTCAGTCGTAGCGTGATGTTTTGTAACCTTCCTCGATAAATGCTCTAACCAACACAAAAATAATTTTATAAAATTCAACTA